TATTGATATCAACTCTTTGTAAGACGGGGCCCTGACCTACAACTATGACGAAATTGGTTTTGTTACTTCATGCGATTTTAGTATTTTGGTCATTAAATTTAGTGTTTCGTAAGCTTGGTTCCACACCCTTTGAAAGTTATATATGCACTAAATTTAGTATGAATAATCAAAGACTCGATGTATAAAACGTTAGTTGTAGGACGCAAACAATACAAACATTCATTTAAATTCTCTTCGAACATGGCCTAATATAAATTAAAATTGTTATTTCATCGGCTCTTGCCACATCGCTCTTTAAGATTTCTTGATCAAGACTAAATATTAGAAGAGAGATATTGCAACACCAATCTATATTTGATTATATTTTGTTCAATCCTTGAAAGGACATTTGAACGCAGTAGAACACTTCGCTACTGAAATATATAATCATCTAGGGAACCAATGGCCATAACATATTTGCTCTATATGTGAGGGGCTCCATGCTCCTATAACATATCCAAAATATAGACTGGAAAGGACTTTTTAATAAATATATATTGCAGGTTTGAATACGTTCATTAAAAAGACGTAAACGCGACTTGAGTAGACTCTAACAGAAAAGGGCACGCACACTGCAAAACCCAAGCCTGACTTGTGTGGGGTGTGAGCGGAGGTTTATACGGTTCCAATTTATTTCTTCATACTCCTAAACCGTTTGAGAATAAATAAGCATGGAATAAAAATAGCTCAGTTGAACATTAGAACTCTGTTATCTAATATTGACAATCTTTAACTGATGGTTAATGATTTAAATTTGACCTTATTGCATTGAATCATAAAACAAGACTAAGGACGTTCAAAAAGGGATACATGATTACTGTATTTATAGGAAAGAGCGTAATTAGAATGGCGGAGGGTTGCAATATACGTTAATGAAAATAAAGTTAGCCACAAACTAAGATCTTCTGTTAAATAATATTGAAATTTTTGCTGTAGAAGTGAAGCAACCTATTTTTTCACCCATGATTGTTTTACTTTGGTATAGACCCCCTGGAACAAGCATCGAACTTTTTAAAGTTATTGAGAATTTTGTTTTAAAACTTGACGAGGGACGAAAAGATATCATATATTTAGGAGATTTAAATTGCAATATACTCGCAGACTCTTTATCTTGCTATAAAAAACGATTACTTGAAATTTGATCAAAGAGCACACTAGGGTAACATCGCTTTTGTCTACCCTTATTGATTTAATGTATACTTCTAACTGTATGGAAGTGGTCAAAAGTAGCGTCGTTCATTTAGGAATAAGCGACCACTCACTTTTATGTATTGTATGGTGTACGGTTCGCAAATCCTTTCCTAATCATGTGTATAGGACATATAGAACTTATAAGAATTTTAATGAAAATAACTTTTTTGGCGACCCAGGAAACATTGATTGGCAAAGTGTTTTTACATGAACTGATGACGATTCTTCGCTACATGAATTTCAGACAGAGTTTTCAACATTTTGTAATTTCCATGCTCCGGTCAGGAAAAGTCGTATCAAGAAAGATCGGAAACCCTGAATAAATGGAGAATTTTTTTTATCTTATTCATGAAAGGTATAAGTTGAAAAAGACTGCAACGCGAAATAATACTCGTGAGAATTGGAAAGGTTTCAGAAAAAGCAAGAATCACGTTATATTATAAAATAGGAAAAAAACATGAGAAAATATTTCAAAAAAATATTATAGACTGACATGGCAATGTTAAGAGAACATGGACAAATCTTAACATGCCGATACAACGCAAAAACAAAAATGTGAAAATTCAATATCTAAAAACCGATGGAGAAGAAATTCATGACACGAAAATAATTTCACAAAAATTGAATGAACTTGCTGGTGTATCCAGTGCACGAGGAATATAAATGTAGATATGCAATTCTTACCGCATACGCTGACCAATATCTTTCAAATTATTCCAGTAACCATGGATGAAGTGAAAAAACAATTGTTGAACCTGTCAAATGACAAAGTACTATATGATACCGATGAAACTGATTAAGCTGGCAATTCCCAGTATTAATGTAACTTTAACACATGTTATAAATACCTCTATTACTACGAATGGAAAATAGCAAGAGTAAGTGCTTTACATAAAGGTTGAACAAATGAACCCACACATTTTAGACCGATATCAAAATTAGTACTAGAACGTGTAGTTTTTGATCAGTTATATGACTATCTGAATAGTAATAATCTAATCAATGTATATCAATCTGGCTTCCGGCCACTGCACTCAACGGCCACTGCATTGCTGAATTCGTCAGCTGAATGGCTGAAAAGCTTTGAATAAGGCAAAGTGGTTTGCTCTGTAATGATAGATTTAAAGAAATCCTTCGACACAGTTGATTTTGATTTACTAATTCAAAAATTAAAATATTATGGTATCGGACAACGCACAATTAATTGGTTTACAAATTACAAGTCATCTGTATGAGAGATACTAAAATAAAAAAAAGTTAATTTTAAAAAGAAGTCTATCATCGGAGTTATTACATTCAAAATCCAAATTCAAAATCGGGCAGCTCGAATAATAAGTAATATCCTTTGGGATTTGTTGGGAAGCTACAGCCTTAATAAACTTGGATGGGATACGCTTGAACACAAAAAGAAAGAAAATATCGCTTTAATGACGTTCAATATACTTATCAAAAAAGCCCCTTCTTATTTAATTAATAAATTCTCGTTCAGAGAAGCCACATAATACGAGAAGTGACAATCTGTGTGTTAAGAACATCCAGCCTAAAACGGATTGAACCAAACGCACATTTGTGTACAGAGGCGCTTGGCTATGGAACTCACTACCACACGAAGTGCAAGCTGCACAAACCAAGTACAGTTGTACAACAGAATAACCAATGTATAATCATATATATAATATACTATGCTCAAATATATCTATGAACTTTCGAATGTTTCCTTCTAATTTTTGGTGCGTCCATGTTTGTGTTGTTTGAAGTTATGTTGTTGTGTATGCATCTGCTCGGGTACTTTTAAATTTCCATATGATATAATATAGCTTCAATTCATTTTATCTCACAATGATTAAATAATAGAGTTTTGTCTTTTGTGCTTGTTATTTTACCTCACTTTCAAGTGTTCCTTTACTGACTTAAAACATTGTAATCATATCCTTAATTGTAATGATATTTTTTTTGTTTTTTTTGTTTAAGGTAATCATATATATATATATATATATATATATATCTTGAACTTATAATAATTCTTATTTTCAATTTTGATTTTGAATATTTGCAGTATCTTGACCAGCCACATTTGATTATTCTTAATTTTATAAATTCCTTTCCGGCAGTTTATTTGAACTATAACAATTCTTATTACCAATTGGACTTTGTAGACTATTGACAGTACTCTTGTTCAGCCACTCATGATATTTTTTATTCATATATATATATATATATATTCTATTCCAGCAGTACTATTCTATTGTGTGTGTTTTTTATTATTTATCTTAATCTTGTTATTTCTTGTTTGTTTTAAATATGTACTTTGATGTACCATTGTAATTTTGTTTATTACAAATGATATGTTTATTTGATGTATTTACATTCTTTCATACGGCCCTAATGGAAGTCCGTCTTGTAACTGTTTCGGCTTTTTTAACCGGGTATAAATAACATTAAAAAATTGAGATAACAACCTATTGAATGTCACATAAAGTAATTTTGGGTAGATTTTTATACCTTCTAGCTCTACATACTTTTTGCTTCTTTGTTTTAGGTAGTTATTCCTTTAATTTCTTCATTAGGCAATCAATTTTCCACTTTCAATTCTCTAAAATTCCAATGTTTACAGAAATTGCAACCTATAATATACTTTCATATTATGCCTTATTTTTTTCCACAGACTGGAATCCTATTTGATTTTGTATATCTTTTACACATGGAGCGCTTGGACTCTGATTTCGTGCACCAGTAAGCTTTTTTAGTATTTTTAAAGATATTTTGACAAATTTATTAAATGTACAATACATAATGTGAATAGAATCTTCAAACGTGTCTGTAAAATCACATAAAGAATAACAAAAATCCTTGTAATCATACTGTTCCCCTTTAGCAAAAGGTTTGGTTCAGATCTGCCAAATATTTTGCAAGTATATAAGTGGTTAAGGTATTTTTATTTAGTTTATTATTTTCTACGAGTATGGATTTGGGGTGAGCTCACGAAATTGTTTGTGCGTACCAAAAATCCAAATAACCAGATTTAGAACTTTATTTATTCCAAATTTTATTCACAAGAAAATTGTTCAATGCTCAAACAATAAAGACCTCTCAGTTGTAAACAGTTTATGATTATTTCAACTTTGTTAAAAGTCATTTGCCATGTACTTATTCACTTTTTCTAAATTAAATTCTTTGAGTTGAAGAAGGAACAATAGTAACAATTTGTTATGCCTCCGTTACGAAGTAGCCGTCCGTCAGTACGTCCCGTTCTCGTGATCGCATTATCTCAAGAACCGATTGATGGATTTCTGTCAAACTTAGGTCATGTGTGTATCTTGCAGAGCCAATGAACTGATTCGATTTTGGGTCACGAGATCAAAGGTCAAAAGTCACAGGGCTCATTATGTATGCGAAAATAGCTTGTGATCACATTAACCGATGGACAGATTACTATCAAACTCTGAACATGTATGTATCTTGCAGAGCCATTGAACTGATAATATGTTAGGTTCGTGAGGTCAAAGATCAAAGGGTCATACATGAACTTGTAAAATAGCTAGTAATCACGATATTCTGAGAACCTGTTAATGGATTACAATCAAATTTGAATTTTAAAAATTGCTTCTGTTTTGGTTTGTAAAATGGCTCTATGGCGGAGGCATCATTTTCGACTGCGCACAGTTGAAGGTCCATCTAGTTTTCATATAAGGCTTAATGCAGGTTACACGAATTATGAATTTCGCAATGTTTGACACAAAACTTTTTGTTAATTTCTTACACAGATCAGACATTGGATTGCACAAAGAGCATAATACTTACATCCCCGAACTATCCTTCGCTTTACCCCAATGATGCATTCGAGGAGTGGTCCATCACAGCACCTCCTAATAGGAGGATCCTCGTCACTTTTAATGACTTTAACTTGGAATATCCTTATGATTACATTGACATTTGGGACATGTATCATGTTAAAAAGCCCTACACAGGCGAGGATATGCAATTCCCTCCATATCTGATGTCAGGGCATACTCTCCATATTGAGTTCACCTCATCTAGAAATGGCAGAAGCAAAGGATTCAACATTTCAGTCTTGTGTAACGAACTTTCAAGTAAGTTCACTCGTATGATCAAGATAGGAAAGAGCATTCTGTAAATATTAACCTAATTTGTACGATTTCATATATTGTAACATGTACACGTATTTTCACTGTTTATCACAACTTCAATTTATAATTAATGTCTCTCCCCGCCCCCCCCCCCCACTCAGGTTTCGAAATGACCGCATGCGTGTTGCCAAAATGTCCGGTAAAGGGGTACTTTTCGTGCGACAAAGTCCGGCCCGAGAAATGTAAAAAAAGGGGGTGTATTTGACTTTCACCTGTAGATTTCTTTAAAAAGGGGGTGTTTTTCTTTCATCTCTTTGAAATTAAAAAAGGGGGTTATAAAATATCTTGAAGTTGAACATAAAAAAATTGATGAATCCCGCGATCAGATTTCAGAAATTCCTGCTAGTTTTGAAAGCTCATTCAGGATTATTTCATTATGAAAAGTAAAAACATTGAGTCCCATGCACTCACGTCCCAGTACGGCGGCAGTACGGACTTCTCAAAATCTGTGAGAGAGAGAGAGAGAGATAACAACAGAACGTATAGTCTAGCCGTACGGCGCATCCGTTAGCTGCACGCTCAGCATGCATATCGGCCTAGGCTCTGCATCAAGCCGGACGCGCAATTTTTTTTTACACGCTAGCCTGGCCATTTCTATGATAAACACCATGGAAACGACTAACATTAGTCTAGCAGCCTACATGCGAGGTGCATGATGATATCATGCATATCATGATGATATCATGCATGACAATCATCAGATAAAGACATAGCCCTTAAAATGAGACGGTAATCGCAGCCATCGGGTGATGGAATTCAAAAACATAATTTATTTTAATTTAATTTCGGAACTTTACATTAATCTTGATCTAAGGAGACACGAACGAACGAATGTTCAGCTAGCTAGCTGAACGTTCGTTCGTTCGTGTCTGCTAGAGAGCAACTCTCATCCCTGTAGCAACCAAAGTTAAACTGCGGTAGTGCATGCCTATGTGTAGGCTTTACCACCAGCGCACTTTTACGAGTATTACGGCGAAACTGGCCAGGCTAGCGTGTAAAACAAATATTCGCAGCCGGGGCATCAAGATGGGGTATGAGGCGTGGGCCCTGCCAAAATTGTCATGATTGGGACGTCTTTGAGCAGGACCCACAGTCTCCTCGTTGTGGATATTGTGGCTGTCTACCTGTGGCTCACAGGGTGGCACATTCAGGTGAGTAGTTTGCCCTATAGTTTGATCGCAATAGTAACACTTTCAAACTCATTTTCCTACACCCATGAAAATGAATATGTGGGACTTGGATCTAGACCTATGTAGTTTTGTACTGTAGTGTAGGCTACCCTAATTCACACACAGGCACAGCTGCATTAGTAATAGGTCTACTATCCTGGCTGTGTATTAAAGGGATCGTTTAACAATGTTAAATCTGAGATGCAAGGCCCTACATGTTATCAGTGTCTGTGATATGGTGTAATATTGAAGCCCTAAAAAAAATTGTGCTTCAAAATGATCAAGAAGAACTTAAAGAAGTGCCAACCAGTAATGACAGCTTATCTGAGATGAGAGGGGGGGGGGGGGGGTCTGCATGTCCTGAGATAGGGGGTACATTGAGCAGCGTTCCGGATTTAGGGGGGTCTCCAAGGCAGGAAAAGCCCGTGAAAAGCCCGCGAAAGGGGGGTTCGGAAATGTTGGCAGTGCTCAGATAGGGGGTCTTTTCAAAAAGAGGGTACAAGCATACGCGTACCCTAAATAACACTGAGTGGGGGGGGGGGGGGGGCTGGGTGTCTCTCCAAGTCTTATTTTTGTCATAAAAGCGCACTGTTCGTTTCATTCAGGCTTAAATTCACTTTTGTAGTTGGCATAATTATTTCACCTTAAGTCAATTCTTTGAAGGGGTGCAATACTACTTTCTTATTATTTTCTCATTAGACGCTTTTTCTGGCCGTTTAATGGACGGTGCTTCACCAGCAGAAGGATTTCTCGAGCTGCCCACACAATCTGGTGAATGGAAGAGAGTCTGTGAAGACCGCTTAACCGAGAGGGTGGCAGAGGTGATTTGTGGAGAACTTGGCTATCCTGGGTTCAAGGAGATCTCGTACGAGAACTCCACATGTGCTTCAGATCAAGACAACTGTACAAGAGCTCCAACTTGCAACCCTTGTTCGTATATATTTTTTCTTCCCTTATTTAATAGAATATACAAATCATCACTAGGATTACAAAAAGACACATTGTTCCAAAATATTCTCCCAGTGCACATCACTATAATAGATTTATCTGTGTTTTGATAACTTTTTTTCTACAGCTACATATCGTCTGGTGGATTGCACAGCTGAGCATTCAATGTGCTCGTCTGAGAAGGTCGTCAAAATAATATGTCATGGTAAGTCAAGATGTCTCTTGTTTGTCCTGATCATAATAAGATACATACATCCCCTAGGGTGTAACAAGAGGGACAAAAAGTGGGGATTATTGCTTATGATCCTTTCAACTTTCCTTTTAATTGTTGATTAGTTTTTTTGTGCAATACTATAGTAGAATTTTTACATAAATATATATTTTCTAAACATTAGAAAAGTTCAAAATTCCCAGTCTGGTTCCATGGAAACGATGCTATTGCATTAGGCCTTCAGCAGATGAAAACAGCCACGAACGCCTTGATTAAAGGCTCTATGAGAGAGATAAACACAAGTACGTACAACTTGCTAGGCCGGCCGTCTCTTAAATCCTAAAAAGAGTCATTTATGACATGTAATTGTATATATGTATATATATATATATATATATATATATACATAAATAATTCATAAAATAGTGGGTGGCAAAAATAGTCAACTGTGACTGATTGCCAAACAAAATCAAATCAAGAAAGAAGGAAGGGGGTAGAGAGAGGGGGAGAAACAGAGAGAATGAGACAGACAGAGAAGGAATAATACACGTGCCTTTTTTAGACACCGTCTTCATCATTACAAGGGTTTGCGTATTACGATGTGCTTGTTGTGTGTTTGTTTTTACATTAAAGTATCTTGTTGGGTTTTTCCCACAGAGCCCGGATATAAAGGATGCTATAAACTCGACACCAAGACATTACAGAACGTCTCCAATTTTAAGTTCTCTTCGACTGCACATTGTCTTTATTTGTGTAAAACCCACGATATCCTAGCTATCGCTATTATGAATCAAACGGATTGTGTTTGTTTCCCATCTTCCGGGGTCCAGTTGGGAAATGAACCGAAGTGCAGTGAAGAAACAACGTCGCTATCAAAGATGTTAGTTTATGACGGTAGGCACATGCAGGCATTATTTATTTGATACGATCGAGACAAAAATTTAGGAAATAAACTTCAGACCAATTTCATAACTATATTGCAAAGCTTTAGAAATCATGTTAGGATAATGCAATATTTCACAGTAATGTTCACACATTTCAACAGGTGACGCACAAGACTATTGACATTGCCTTAGGTTCATGTTTTTTAACTCATCAAACCTTACCCTGGTGCTAGGCTTACACTGGTATCGTCTATCAAATTATATCCATAATGGAGCAAAGATAAAATGAAACTATCTTAGAAATTTAGAAATTAAACCGATAATTGTAATTTTGTATTGAAGAACTTATATCAAAGAACTTTTAAATTTCAAACTTAATCGACACAATCGCTACTTGCGTAGTTCCCTAGATACGTTGTTGCTGCAGATCCCATCTATCAAAACAAAAGTAAAGCTAGGTGATCGAGCATTTGCTTCTGCAGCCCCGAAACTCTGGAATAACTTACCATTTGAAGTCAGGAAATCACAATCTGTGAATTTCTTATAATAAAAATTGAAAGCACATCTTTTTCAATTAACTGTAAATGTAAGCATATCAGGAGCTATTGTAGCGCAGTAGAATATATACTTAATGTTGAATAGTTTCTGCGCTCTATAAATGTATTATTATTATTATTGAGGCATGCATGTCATTGTAATAAAATTCCCAGTATGTCGTGGATTTTTTTGGAGAACTTTGATATATGCCATAGTTATCGTTCATCTAAAATGTTAAAATGTTCACAAAATAATTAAATTTCATTATCAACCTTCCTCTGAAGAAATCTGATAAATTTCTCTCAATAAATCTCATACCTCTTCTTTATAGCTTCTGTAGGTTTCTGTGAGGAGCTGAATGACACGACTGGTGGATCTTGGAATTCTAAGATCACGTGGTTTAGTTCTATCGTTCATCTTACATGTATGGATGGATACAGTCTGAAAGAAAATGGAACCCTGCGGTGTGTGCCGGGGTCATCACCATTGAATCCTGTATGGAACGATTCAAAGCCAGTTTGCATAATAGTTGGTAGGTGACGAGAGCCAACACTTTATTTTTGTAAACTGTTTTCGCATATCGAGAGTTCTCCCTTTTGTTAAAACCTGTACCTACGTTATTGTTATTATGCTCGTTCATTTCGGTTCATTGATACAACAATCCGAATTAGAATCTGTACGAAGAAAAATAAACATACCAAGTGTTACACGCAGGGTTGCAGTTTGTAATAGGCCTATTATATAACATAATATATACAGTTCTAATCTATTTAGGACGGAGCAAAGCATTGGAAATAAATTGATATTTCTGGAAAGCCTTATTTTAAGAAAATGATTATCTTTGACGATTACACACAAAAACATATTACCATAAAATGATTTATACCACACTTGGTCTTTAAACAAAAATGAATAATTCTTATGGGGAATCTGCATTACTGCAAGAAAATCATTTTTTAATTGAATAATATCTAAAATAAAAATAAACCGGTAAACTACTTGTACATTTTCAAATATGGATATGCAAAAATTTAAAATTAAAAAAAGGAAAATCACTTTTTTTATTCATTCTTTTTTCTTCATGGAGAAAGCTAATGCTGCCGTTATACATAAATTCATTTGGAAAACAAAAAAAGACAAAGGTTTGAAAAAAGATTAAAACAAATAGGCTACCAAGTTACAACCTTTAACAAGATTTTGTATTTAATTGTGTCTGTTTAAAGACATCTCCAGAAAAATTATATCTTGATTTGTTTCACTACCAACTGGTACATCTACAGTGTTGGATGATGGTTCACGTACGTTTTCGTTATTTTAACGACATTCATGCACTAATAAAACCGTACTCGTAGGCTAATTACTTCAAGAGAAGTACTTCTTCTAGAAAAGGCAAACAAATTATTCCTGACTACCTTCTTTCGTTTTATTCCCATAAAGAGCAACTATATCGTAAGGCCTAAAAAAAAAAGAGATGTTGCAATGCCCTCAAAACAGCGACCATCGCCCCAAAAATTCAAAACCGCCGGGGAGCGACGCCCGAATCTCGCTGGCTTCTACCTGTGAATCATTTGATGATTTTATGCATTTATATCCCATTTAAAACAAAAGAAACAAAACTATGAGAAATTTCTTTTTATTAAAAAGCCGACCATAGATTTTAAGATTTTAGGGTCGGTCGCAAAGGAAATACAACATCGTTTTGTGTTAACGCCTAATAGTGATTTTAATAGCCTTGACAAATATTGTTCATGAAGTACTCTCCTATTAGAGATATGATTATAACTAAGTACAAAATTTGGACCACAGTCTGGTGCCACATTTTTGTGCAGGTCCACGTACAGTGCTTTTCATTGTTTATAATATTAAGCATGTGATAGACCAATTTGTAGTAGTGTTATGACACCCATAAATCCACAGATGGAGACATCGATCCTGCTTTGTGCATTTTAGAATAATCACTGCCAAAGTGATGGAGGTGCTTCATAAATACGTTTTGCTTGCCTTCTTGAGAAGAATACTTCACTAGTATTCCATAAAATGTACCGTTATTGCATAACTGAATAATGATTACATAAATTTTATGAGCACGTATCCAATATTCGTCTCGGTCGGTTGTACAATTTTGATATAAGACCGTTATCTGCCCATGCGCAAGATTGTTTCTATGAGCTGGTCTATTCAATCAATGTCTGTAAATTCGATGATTCCTACACCCCTTTAAAGGCAGTCCTTCCTATCTAAAACGCAATCATCAATCAGAGTCCCTTTTGAAATGCGTGACCATTCCATTTTATCTTTCACTAATTAGTTTAGCTGACAACTACCTTTAAAAAGTTTTATTAAACAATAAATATGGTTCCCAGGTCCACTACAAGATTGCTATAACTTCACAGTGAAGTTTGTGTTAAAGGGGAATGAAACCCGACGATCATTAGCTGATAATCATATTCAAAATTGTTACCGAGTTTTTAAAAATCGTAAAATTACTTGTATTTGATTATTTAGCAAGGAAAACAGTATATAAAAAGTTTCAGATTCCCAGATAGCCATTCTCCCATGGGAGTCGCCATTTTGATCAAAATAATGATGTCAGATGAGTAAAACTTGTGAGGGACATACTGACCTGTATTTTAGCTACAATGTGGGACACTTACACGTGAAATGCAGCTACATTACTGGTTTCCTATAAATATACTATTTTGGGTATTACATTCAGATGAATGTATATTTTTTTATTAGTGTGACTTGATATTTGGTTGAACTACTCCCATAATTTGTGTTTACATATTCAACAGGTCACGTTAACGGAATTATCTTGTACACCTAATAAAGCGTCACGCAATTTGATTTGTGGCCACTTTTATTTTCAAAGGAAGCATATAGGCTTTATATTACATAATTTGTATTCATATACAAACATTCAATTGAACAAAATAATGCAAAGGATATGTTTAATACTTCCACAAATTTATACTTTGAATCGTTTCAAATTTAGAATAGTATAGGTTGCCGTCTTGTAATCATTTTGTTACTATTTTTTGTTGTTGATGATTTTAGTTTCAACACTATACCTCAACATTGTATATACAACCATGATTTCCACTGAATATACGACAACCCTGTTTCTACGCCAATTGGTGAGGAAGAAATCATGTTATAGTGATCCAAATGCACATTGGTTCACATCATACAAACCTATCATGTGCCATCTCGATACCATTGTCACTGCATAAGAGCTAGTATATAAAATCTGGTACTAAAACACTAACCCCATTTCAGAGCAAAACTAAACCATAACTTTTTTATGGTTTAAACGTTAAAAGTTATAAACGTTTCTTTCAATTTTTCTTATATGTTTCTCTTACATTTATTTACAAGTCGTATGCACACCATCATCCAATGGAAAGAAAACAATCATTGCGATCTATAACAATAATAATATATATGTCAAGCGCTTTAGAGACGGTATTCCGTATTAAAGTAGATATTCATTGATTTTAAAAACTAACTCAGGACTCATTGAAGGGGGCAAGTGGCACCAGTAGGAAACATTCTCTGAAAAGCAAACAAAAACAAAAGAGCGAAAAGAAAATGTCACAATTATCAGGTAATTTTGGGGTCTAAACTTTTAAATATTATAAAAACCAATAGAATATAGGATCCCACAAGGGAGTCTCTTTAATTATTCAAAAACATATTCATAGTCGGTGGATTAAACGCTTTCGAGATCATCCGTTTTAGCTTGTTAGCCTCCCTATATCCCTGCTCCCCTAACCTATCTCGTTTTAGTTGAATGCATCCAGTTTGGTCATTTACACAATTTGGCACACCCTCCACTTTGCGCGGACAGTACACGTGGTAATGTATATCACTTCGGCCTTATGCACAATGCCTAGGTCACAGTTAACCTAGCCTCTTGTCGATGGCCCTGGCGCTGTTCGGGTACGTAAATTCTTGCTCACTTCGCTCGCCAGATACGAGGCGCTTGCGCCGAGGGCTTCTTAACAAGTGTTTTTCATTGATTGGCGAATATTCCGACCCAACTGAAGTTCGGTGAAAATCATCCAATCAGAGAGAGAGCTACTATGACGTAATATATACCGCTCTGTGTGGATTTCCTCCGTGAGAGTGAGACCGTCCGCCTATCTCCCGGGGCTTTCATGCATAATTCAGTACGAAATTGGGTCTCATGAATATATAATTCAGATCACTTGTTAAGAGGCCCTCGGCGCAAGCGCCTCGTTTCTAGCTCTCTTCACTCGCCAGAATTTACGGACTCCAACAGCGCCAGGGCCATCGACATTTAACCCGGACATCGGACAATGTTCCCGATATTGGGGCATCGTGTGATATGTAGAGGTAGTGGAGTAATCAGGTGACGGATTTTACATGAATGGGCGCCGCCCAATACCTATAGAGGTCCGCTGGGTAACTCCAGGATAAGCGGGCGAACGGCAGACATGCGGTCAACTTCTGGAGTAAACGTCGGACGGTGTATGGCCGACACCCTTCCGATGAACCCCCGATAAGTCTATGGTGATCGGCGAGACGCCGCACAGTGGGCCAGGAAGGAACCAAAGTGCGCCAAAACTAAGTTTGGGTGATTTATTTTTTTCAATTTTTTTCTTGCCCATTTGAAAGGTAATACATAGAGGAATACCTCAGTGAAATATTTAATTCCGGTATGCACAATAAGGGTATAAATTTACTACTTCAAACAGCAAAATCCTACATATTCACAGTTTTAGTGCAAAAGTGACTTATTTTATAAATCTTTCAATTCAACATGAAGTTTTTAAGTTATTGATATGAAATTGCTCTCACATATTCCTGATAGTTCATTTCGTTGAATGAATGGGTTAAAATTAATAGAAACACAATCTTCATGATATATTATAGGGTAATTCACTGAAAAATGGACTAATTATCCATGTTTTTTATAAATCCAGAAGAAATGTTTAGATCTCCGCGGTGTACCGCTTAAATTTTAATACCATCATTTCCTCTGATGTCTAAGCTTCAAGTTGATACCAAATTTGGCTGCCCGATCTTGCCCGTTGTTATGTTAGAGCCGATTTCCCTTGCCACATTGCCCCGAAAATGTGGGTTTTTGGGGTCCGCGGATGAATCATGAAGGATTCGTAGTCATAAATCACGGCGCGAGGGGGCGCTTGACACTTGTTCTGACACCGCGGACCAAAATAAACACATTTTTCGGGGCAATGTTGCTAGGAAAACGGCTCTAACATAATAACGGGCAGAATCAGGCAGCCAATTCTGGTATCAACTTAAAGCTTAGACATCAGAGAAAATGTTGGTAATAAAATTTAAGCGAAAATCCCTGGAAATCCAAACATTTCCTCTGGATTTATAAAAAATAAATCCCCAAACATGAGTTTTGGCGCACTTTGGTTCCTCCCTGGCCCACTGTGCGCCGGCTTAAAATTACACGTCGGCCGGAAATCGGGCGGACACCAGTCGGACATCGGATGATATACGCTTGGCCTCCTATATATGGTAATCGGCTGACCAACGTATGG